TGTCACGCTGTGTTGGTGTTTGTGTTGTGATAAAATGATACAGGCGTATATTTATTGCAACACAAAGATCACAACGCATGGCAATGCGTCACAAAGCTTTGCCATGCGCTGCCAAAGTTAATGTAATTTTTTTTTAAAGAAAAAAATACATTAAAAAAATCATGAACTGCGATGCGTTCTAACAACGCACTGCAGCGCATGTGCATAGCGTACACCTCAATATGTGTATGCTATGTGGGGGGAGGGAGGGGTTGTGCTTTTTTTTATTAGTTTTTTTTGTACACCTTTTTTTTATTTATTTAAATTTTTTTTTTCTATTTTTTTTTTTATTTTTTTTTACTGTTTGGGGGGGCTGCGGCGAAATATATGGGGTCTAAATAGACCCCTGACATTTCCCTTTTGAAATAGAAAAAGAAATTGAGGACATAAGTCCTCGATTTCTTTTTCTGCAGCCCCAGCACTCAATCAATGGGAAGCCTCAGTACAGAGGCTTCTCATTCATTCAGAAACCAATGATAGTAAAAATATCTTACTATCATTAGTTTTGAATGGGGAGGAGCCTCTGTAGTGAGTGCTAGTCCCCATTCATAAATTCTTGAATGAACAGGCTGTGATGTAGATCACAGCCTGTTCATTCATAACTGGGGACACATAGCACTATGTGTCCCCAGTTATTTACAAACACCGGATTGATCAGACGATCGCTCCGGTGTTTGCTCTGCACAGAGGGATCGTTAAATATCAATGATATTTAATGATCCCCCGCTCGGCCACGCTACAGAGCTGCTGTCATCCAAAAACTGACAGGATGACAGCGGCTCCGATCACTATGCCGCTCGGCCATCCTGAATTGCGGCCAGCCGCCGCTCGCTATAAGCTGATAAGACCATCAGCTTATAGTAGAACTGTAAATGCCAAGGACGTACGGCATACTGAGCTGGCCAGCTGGAAGCACTTTTGTAGCTCCGTATGCCGTACGTCCTTGGCAGCGAAAGGGTTAAAGCGATGCTTTTCTGAGGAATGTATATTTGTTTGATCTGGATTCATTATTGAAAAAGGTTTGAGAGTTTAATACTACTTTTAAGGCCTCTTTCACACTGCTAAGAGCCGGTGTGCACTGCCGTATCGGGCCGTTCTCAGGAAGGACAGGTGCTGTGTGTGATTGTACGCAGCAGCCTGCTCTTCTCTATGGGAGTACGCAGCCGTACGCTTACCCGAGCTGCACATCCGTGCGGGTGTCCGTATTCGTACGCAGACAGGATGGATTCTGTCTGCGTCCGAGCAGGGACACCCACACGTATGTGAAGTTTGGGTGAGTGTACAGCAGCATATGGCCGCGTACTCCCATAGAGAAGAACAGGCTGCTGCGTGTAATACCCGATATGGCCGTGCACGCCACACAAATCTGTACAGGCAGACTCTTAGCAGTGTGACTAAGGCGTAACTGAGCATGGTATATAATGATATATAGTAAAGCGTATAATTTGCCGATTTCATGTTGAAGTATTCTGGACACGTCTCATAAAAATCTGATCTTTTAAACGTATGTATTGTGGTCATTGTTAGGCCCGGTTCACACCTAGGCGGCACCGTATTTGCGCGTTTGTACGCACGTGAGCAGCATGCGGTTATTTGCACATTTTGATGCACGTTTTTATGCGCGTACATGGAGACGCCCTTTCTGACTGGCAGCTTTTGAAACATTGCAGGCAATGGAAGAACGCGCGTTTAAATGTGCAAAAACACTCACGAAAATGTGCAACATGCTTCTGCTGCACATTTTTGGGCATTTCCATTAAAGTCTATGGGGGGAAAACATGCTTTCAACTGCCCAAAGACGCTTATGTACATGTTGGGAATTTAAAAGCACTTTTCCTACTGTTCTAGGTGTTAACCAGACCTCATGGCTTCTTTTAAGTGTGCTGGGTAGGCCATATTGCCGTTATTTGTGGAAGTCTGGGGCCTGTCTGTGAAGACT